TTACGTATATCCATACATAAATACTGCGAGGCCGATTGACGCTTTACAGAAACTTCAGCTGAGTAACATACCAAAAGTTATCATGTTTACGCCTCTATTATCTTTTTTGTTGCAGCACAATCGGTTGCATGATGTAAAGGTACTGTGCAACTACAAAACCGCGCCCACCGTGTATTATAAAGAACTGATGATGCCACTAGTGCGCTCTTATCTCGCTACGAAAGACACCAATACTTATATAACATTATTGATGGCGTTTCCACAAGGTCAAGATTTCATCGGCTTTTTTTTTAAAGCATTGATGAAATATTCGATTTCGCAAAACGAATTTGAGCTTATTTTGGAAGAATTGACAAAACATAAGGCGAAAATATCGCAAGAGGAGGCGAGCATTCTTAAAAATCGGCTGCAAAATAGAAATTTTACTCTCAAAATGATGAATCTAATAGACAATCTGACTGATCAAACTATTATGAAAAATGTCCCGTCAATTTCCCACATGATGTTCATGAACACCAAAGAATTAACATGTTACAAGGTGGAGCTGAAGCATAAGAAATTCAATATTCATAAAATTCTGCACAAATTGCTGATTATGCACTGTCTCGAGAATAATCTCAAACAGGCCGAAGAGATAAAACGCGAATACAATGCGTGTCAATACAAATGGTCGCCCGGCATGAAGTTGCTTTTATTCGAATTATATCTCAAACACGACAAGCTGAACGAGGCCGAAGCGCTGATGGCCGATTTGCAGACATCCGATAAAATCGTGTTAGACAGAATTAAAATTATTAGATACGCCATTGCATTGGTGAAGGCGGATAATCCTACCAAGGCTTTTGATGTTATTGAGAAGATCAGTATCATTAATCACGAAGTAAACATGCAGGATTATTGTTGTACACTTTTGCAGGTCCTAGCAAAGAGTCGGTATCACGCGCGCACGGCAGATATGTTAAAACTGCTCTTGCAGAGAAATTACTGTGAAATAACCGTGGAGCTGTTAAGGCCATTGATGATGATATCGTTAAAACACAACAACATCCAGGACACCGTAAATGTATTCACGGATTGCGCGCAAAAGTATCGTGAAACGCCGTTGGCATTGGAATTGTTAACAATATTGTTACAAGAGAAGTACAGTACAAATTTGTACGATGCGAATAACTATATAGAACAAGTATATGATATAATAGCTGCTACCCATTCCGTCGATGTGGCAAACACGATACTGGCGATAGCATTAGCGACATTAAACAAAACAGAGAAACTGCAGACTTTATTACAGGTAACTGAATTTTGATTTATACTATTTGTATATTTCCTTGATTTAAAATTTACTCGTAAAATTGATTTGAATTTCCATTTTACATATTGACTATAATATACACATAAGAATTACATATTACATTTTTTATCTTATCAAATTTTTCTAATTTTTGTTGTGTATATTTATATATATATATATATATA